CCCCCCCCCCCCCCGCTGCACCCCAGCTCCTGACACCCTGTGGTTCACAGCAGGAGCTGGACAGGGGGAGCTGACCCAATTGCTGGGCTAAGCTCAGCCCCGCATGTAGGGCACGGGATAGAGCCCCTACACTATACCCCGGATGCACAGAGACACCCCCACCCCCTCCGCGCGCGCCCCTTGCCCTGCCCTAGCCCCAGCGGCATGTCGTCCACTGTCCTCCTCCCGGTGGCCCGGAGGCCGGAGAACCTTTCTCACGGTCCGTGTTCCAGGGTAATCTTGAGTTTCCTTTCTTTTCAGTACTGGGAACTGAACCCAGGGCCTTTGCCCTGAGCTACAGCCCCAACCCTTAAATAAAATCTTTTTAAAAACATTTTGAGACAGGGTCTTGAGGCTGGACTCAAATGTGAGATCCTCCTGCCTCAGCCTTCCAGAAGGCTGGCATTGCGGACATGATCTCAGTCTCCACTGGTTCAGAAGCCCCTTCCCCATTCTGAAGAGAACTGAAGTGGGTAGGGGTCTTTGTGCCTAGGGATCGTACCCCACCCTGACCCCAGCTGTCCCTTCTGGTCTTCTCATTGCATGCTCACCAACCCACCCTGGCTCTGATTCTGCTCTCCTATTTTAAATTAGAGGCTATAGAGCCTCAGAGAGACTGAGAGATTTGCCCAAGTTCTCACAGCAGTAAGTGGCTATCAGAGGCTGGAGCCTGGCCCTGGCTCCACACCGTCCCCTGGGTAAAGCCCGGCCCACCCGCCCTCTCCACACCCAGGACCATCTTCCAGTTCGCACCTTCCTCCTGGCCTGTGTGCTTGCCTTGCTTTCTAAGAGTGGTATTTATTTATTCTTTGGGTTTCTGTCCAGTATTCACCGTGCCAGGCCAAGGAGATGAAGGCGCGGCCTGGGTTCAAGTTCACAGTCTGGGAGACGGGTTTCCTGTGTGTTAGCTGAGGCTTCCCAGGCAGCTGAAGGCCTCCCAAGGGGCAGAGGCTGCTTCCTGCTTCTCCCGAAATGGCCTTGTGGGGGGGGGGCTGGGAGCCTCTCAGCTGCACACTGTGGCTGTCGCAGTTGGGTGGGGGCTGACTTGGGTCTGCAGCTGAGAGCTCCAGGGAGGGGCTGGGGGACAGGCGGTTCCAGCAGGCTTCCTGCCTTCCTCCGAACCTCGGGCCTGATGTTCCACGTGTCCCTGGTCAGCCGGGCCTCACACTCACCTGTCCCTGGGTGCGGCCACATTCAGGTCTAGGTCAAGGTTCAATCCTCACTGTACGATTACAGCGCGCAGACCAACAGGGCCCTCAGCCCAGCCATCTGTCACCACCTGCTTCCTCCTGGTTTATCCCGTCCTTGTGAGCAGCTTTCTAGAACAAAATCTTTAACCCCTTCCCTTTTCTGCGGTTCTGGTGATTAAACTTAGGGCTTTAGCATGAAACTACATCCTCAACCCTTTCTTTTTTCCTGAGACAGCATGAGCCTGCCTCAACCTCCCTAGAGCTGAAGTGGTACTTGTGCACCAACACAGCTGTCTCCCCTGACTCTGATCCGGGCAGGCGTTCTCCTGGCTCCCACAAAGCCCAGCTTCTAGTTTCCAGCCTTGTGCTCCAGGGTTAAACAGTGAGGAGCCCCACGGCAATCTCAGCTCGGTTTAGAGATCAGCCACCATCAGCCAAGGCTGAGACACGGGGCTTTGGAGAAAAAGGTGGGGTCCCAGCGCCAAGGAGGAGGAGAAGAGAGAGGCAAAGGCAGGTGGCGGGGACAGACGGAAGAGTGAGTGCACGGATACAGGAAGAACGGGTCTGTTTAATGACACAGATGGGTCTGGTTACAAACATCAGAAACTACAAAAGGAGGACAGGCAGTTGCACGATGACAGCATGAGGATGGACAGGAGGGGACGCGGGACCGGGAGTCACAGCAGCGGGCCACCCTCGGATGATACCTGTGACCAGGTAGTGTCCAGTGAGGATGAGGCAGGTAGGTGGACAGGACCAGCTGGCAGCCAGGAGGGCAGGGTGAGCCAGGGGAGGCCCCGTGGCCCTCTGCAGGTGGGCTGGCATTCCAGGTCCCTCCCGCCCCAGTGGTCACCCCATGGGGAACTTCTGGGCCCCTCATCTGCCCTTGCCAATTCTAGGGCAAGTCTGGGAATCAAACCCTTGGCTTAGGGGAGTCAAGTCCTTTTTCTTTCCGGAAGTGGAAAGCAGGAAATGTGGGGAACCGGCCCAACTGGGTCACACCAGACTTCATCCTTTGCGCTGCTGGACTGTACCTGCTCCAGAACACTCTGCCTACAAGTGTGACCAGGGTGCCCAGGCCTCACACGTGGGTGGGTGGGACTGAGAGTCCCGGGCTGCAGACACACACGGTAGATGTGTGTGTGTGTGTGTGTGTGTACATATATATATATGTGTGTATATACATATATATATATATATTTATAGCGATTGTATATAGAATATATCCGTATAGTATATGGTAGACACGTGTGCGTGATACTCTAGATGGTGAGGTGTAGACCTGCATGCTGGCCAGGCACGATGAAACGGAGCTGGTTCATTCCCGAGTGACTCACAGACCCATCCCCACTTCCCGCCAGCCGCTCAGCTAGGTCCTCCTCTAACAGTGAGTAGAAAAGCTAAGAGTGGACCCCACTCTGCAAGGTGGAAGTGTCCCTGCCCGCCCTGCTGCAGGCAGCATCCAGGGGGTCAGCATCCAGGCAGCCAGCGCCATCTCCTGGCAGCTCAGGGGACTGCGGCCGCGGCGGAGGCCTCCTTCAGGGAAGACAAGTCGGGGTTCTTCCAGCTTCCTTGGCACCCAGAAATGAAGGGTCAAGGAGGGTCTTCAGAACTCGGCCTTCTGCTCAAGGTGCTGCCAGGGAGGGGGACCTGGGAGGGCTCCTATGGCCCCGAAGAGGGCAGCGTGGCGGGTGGGCTGTGAGCGAGACAGATGGAGAGAATAGGTTACAAGGGTCAGGGAACCTGGGTGTGGCAGGCACGGTACCAGGGCATGATGCCGTGGAAGGCGTCGCGAGACCCAAGTTCTAGTCCTCCCTTTGCCCTAACCTGCTGCGTGTGAGTCCGGCGGTCCTTGCGAGCCCCAGATCTTTTCCTCTAAAATGTGGATGGCTGCCTTGCCTGCCTACTTGAGAGTGGAGATGGGGTAAAACAGTTATTTCCAGAGCTGCAAAGCACGAGACAAATCTGAGTTTTCCTATTCACGTGGAAATGTGGTGCATTCTACGTGGCCTGTCTAGACCTGCCCTAGCCCGAGTCTGAGCCACGCAGTGACCCCACCCCAGCCTGCCACCCCTCCGCCCACACAAGGCACACAGCCCTGGAGCAGAGACATTCAATAAACAGTGGCGTCTGGCCCACCACTGCCTCCCTGATAAGAGGAGCCTGGGAGGGTGAACTCGCTCCCACCATCCGAGCCTGTGGGACCCTGGCCATCCTTCAGTCCTCCGCCTGGGGACCTGGGATGCTCACCTTCTCTGGGGTCCACATCCCATTCCCTTGGGGAGATCAGGAGGGGGTGCAGGGTGAAAAGGGGAAGGGGGACAATCCCTTGATGTGCCGGCTGGGGAACCTCGGTGTGGGTGCCCTGGCCACTCCCCCACGTAGCCCATCTCCATCCGGGCCATGAGGAGCAGAAGCCGGGGCAGATGAGGCAATTTCTGTGTTTCTTAGTATTTGGTGTTTGGCTCGATCTAAGTCCCTGGGGTCCAGCGGGGGGCTGGAGAAGGGGGGTGCCTGCCATGTGTTTCTGATTCAGTGAGGCTCAACCGCCGCCAGCTCTCTCGCGGTCCCTCTAGGCCCCTGTAAAAAAGCCCTTTTCTCGAAAAGCAGGAAGTCTTGTCTCCGGGCTGTAAACAAACCCATCTGGGGGCTGCCAAGCAGCCCGGGGAGAGGAGTTGGAGGGAGGGTGAGTCCCTCCCTGCTTCCCTCCTGCTATCTCCTGCCTGGTCCCCCAGGGGACAGCTCAGGTTTACCCCAGCTCTCCAGCTTGCCAGGACCCTCCTCTGGCAGGTAAAACCCCCTGCTTGCTCCCCACTCTGGGGTCTGGGGCGGGCCAGCACTCGGCTGTGCACATCTGGCGTTGGCCCAGGCTGCAGCCCCAAGTTCCTGAGGGCTCTGCTTAGCTCTCCTGGGGCGCTGCCGGTGTGGGGGAGGATGTAGCACAAGCTCCCTGCCCTCTGGTCAGCAGCAGGAAGGGCAGCAGGCCCAGGCCCCCGTCGGAGCCCAGCCCGGGCCTGCTGCGAGCCTCAGGCCCATGTGGAGCCTGGGGAAGAAACACTGCCTGTTCCATGGGAAACCGCCGGGAGTGTTTCTTTACAGCACGTGTCCTGAGCCGCTGGCTGACCCCTGGCTTCCATTCCCACCTCCCTCCTCTCTCTCCTTCCTACTCCAGCCCTGCCCTTCCATTCAGCTCACACAGTCAGAGGCCGCCCCTCCCCAGGGGCCCCGAGCTTCCCAGCCAACTGCCAGGTCTGAGGCAGCCTTTCCCTCATGTTGCCCTCATCAGCTGAAGTCACCGAGGCTGGCCACCCTCCTTGAGCCCCGGACTGGGAGCTGGCCTCAGGGTCAGCCTGTAAGTAAACATCCCCGGTAGTGTGCACGAGTCCTGCCCATCCTGTCCTGAGTGGGCCTGGGCACGTGCGTGTACACACGTCCTCGTGATCCTCCTGGCTCTGGCCCTGTAGAGGCAGAGGGTGGTGGGAGCCATGGTCGGTGCTAGATGGAGAAACAGGCCCATGGGATTGGTGCCGGGGAGGGGTTGGCCACAAGTGGACTGTTGCTGCCTTAAAGCCTCAGCAGCCGACCTGGCCAGCAGGGCACTGTGTCAGACCTCTCTGCTTGGGTAGCAGAGGCCTGGGGTCCTGTGCTCCCTTGCTCTAGGGAAGGGACACAGTCTGCCCCAGGGGAGTTCACGGCAGGCCTGGTCAGAAGGAACGGTTTGTGCCTTAAATGGGTCAGCCCCAGGGCCCCAAGAGAGACAGAGAACCCAGCCCACCCTCACCCCCTCCTCACATGGTGGCGTTGGGGACCTGCTGTACCCAGCCCACTTCCTTGTAGGCAGCGGTCACGTGGCTGTAGATGAGACCACGCAGCTTGGCCCAGGCTCTCTGCGCCTCTGGCGGGAAGTCATTGGCACACTCCTCGGCGATCAACTCCAGAATGACTCCAGAGATGGTCTGGGGGCAAAGGGAGGAAGGGGAGTGAATGCACAGCCCCCCAACCCCGGCGGCCCCCAGGACCCCCTCCTGCCCCAGGGCACCCGAGGGAATGGCTCCTAACCCAAGGTCCTGGTGGCCGTGGGAGCCAAAGGCCCGCAGGAAGGGCCCAGCCCTCACTTCCTGCCGCCAGGTGCTGCCCTCCCCACAGAGGAGGCTGGGAGCCCTGCCAGGCACCGCCGGTGTGGGGGGCGGTGCTCCCCGGTGACCCACCTTGAAGTACACGGGCTCCACCTTGTGCTTCAGGGCGTGGGCTTTGCCCACGAGGGCCAGCACGGAGGACACCTTGTCGGGGTCGTGCAGGTTCTCCACCACGGTGTTGAGGGCCCCCATGACGCGGCAGGCATGCTTCCGGAGCTGGGGGCTTCGCTCCATTTCCAGCGGATCCTCCATGTGTCTGAACTGGCTGAAATACTGCTTGGCCGAGGGAAAGTTCACGAAAAACCTGGCGGGAAGTGGGCGGTGCTGGAGCAGGGGTTCCTCCCGCATCCCTTGGAGCAGACTTGCGGGGGGGGCTGGAGAAGCAGGAGCTGCCCCCACCTCCCACCCCAGTGACTGTTTTCCCTACGGCAGATAGGTCTTTCTCCAACACAGGCCTCCCTCTGCTCGGGGCCTGCTGTGCCTGTGGACATTAGGCTGGCAGCTTCCTGTTGCAGGCCTTCGTTTCCCTGTTTCCTTCCTCCCTTCCTTCCTCCCTTCCGTGATCGGCAGCTAAGTTAGCTAGAAATACTAGAGGCGGTCAGACAGGGCTAAACCTTGGAGGGAATCAGTGCAGAAGATAAGAACACACTGCAACTGTGTGGAGTGGCTTGAGGTCCAGGCCTCAAGATAAGATGCAATGACCAGGCCTACGTGCCTCCCACGGGATAAACAACACACTCTCGTCAGTGTTACCTGGTCTCACACGGTCTAGATGGACGTTAGTTACCCGGTTGGGTGACAGGACCTCCTGACTAATCTCTTCCAAAAAGGGCCCTTGCTCTTTCCAGGTACATGTGCTGTGTGACCCGCTTCTCCGTTGGGTCACTGTTACCTAAGCCGCTCCACTTGTAATCTTAGTGGCTGATCATAATTTTGGTCCACCTTGTACCCACCTCGTGATTTCTCTCTATAAAGTGGGCTGGTTGGAAGCCATTCTCGGGGTCTCTCTCTCTCTCTCTCTCTCTCTCTCTCTTTCTCTCTCTCAGTAGAATTTTCCTACTCTTAACCTCTATTGTGCCTCAGAGTTCATTCTTCAATTTTGAGAACCCGAACTCGGTGTATCAGACATCTAACAGGTTGGGGTTACATTATTTCCCCTATATCATTTGGAGGTCCTATATCACTTCCTCCCTCACTCCTTCCTTCTCTTCCTTTTTCTGGGGTATTGGGGATCCAATTTAGGGAGTGCCACAGCCCTTTTTATTTTTAAATTTTTTAGATAGTCACACTAAGTCTCCCAGGCTGTGTTCAAGCTTGCAATTCTGCTGTAGCTAGATTGAAAGTTTGTGCCACCCTGCCCAGCTTTCTAGATTCCTACCTCCTTTCTGAACCCAGTCACTGCTGACAGGCTCAGAAATGGGGCTCTGGAATCACAGGTCAATTATTCTCCATTTTATTTTAATTTTTAAGAGATAGGTTCTCCTTATGTTACCTAGGCTGGCTTAGAACTCCCAGGGTTCAAGCAAGCCTCCTGCCTCAGCCTCCTGAGTAGCTAGGACTATTCTGGAAGGTGTGTGTGTATCACGGCATCCTGCTTGTTATTCAACTTTTCTGAGCCTCAGTTCCTTGTTCATAAGGTAGGTATCACTGTTCCTATTCGGTGGGGTGTTGTAAGGACGGAACAAGAAAGATCCTGTCCTCACCGCAGTGTCTGCAGGATGCACTGACTTAGTTATTGTTTTATTTTGACAGAGTTAGCGCTCACTTTATGAACACCATAAACTGGCTAAGGTTACTCAGCCAATGAGGAGAAGACACAAGACTTAGTCCCCTTTCTCCTACTCAGTCTCTTCCCTCCTCCCCACCGGGAACCCTTCCTCAGCCTGCAGTCACTATGGATCAGCTGATTTAGTTAAAAATAGCAATTGATTTTACCTGCCTGGAGTGGGTCTGGTGTTACTTTGCGTCCAGAAGTCTTAGCTCCCCAGTGAGCTGGCAGCTTCTAGAGCAGACCCCAGGCCTCCCTAGCTCTAGCCTCTCTCCTCTCCAGTTCGTCTGGAATTGTCTAATTCCCCCAAATATTGCTTTCATTCCGTCACTATCATGCTCAAAAGCATTCAGTGGCTCCTGATTGTCTACTGGACAAAAATCAAAACTCCCTGAGCCGACACTCCAGACTTCTCACAGACCGTCCCTCTGCTGCTTCTCTGAGGCCGTGGCCACCCTGTGCCTACCGGAGTCACCTTGCTCCAGCCCTCTGGCTTCACTCATCATAGGTGACAGGGCTCTGGGCCGCTGTCTCCTGTCCCCCTTGGTGGGTGCTTTCCCGACAGACTGTGCCCTGTGAGTGCCCAGGCTGGCCCAGGCCTACTGCTCTCCCCTCCAGGCCATTAGTGCTACTCAGGTGGCCTTGCCTGGTCCCCTTTGGTCTGTGGGGCCGGACCCCAAGCCCACCGGCAGAGGTCAGGCCTCACGCAGGCCCAGGGTCCTGCAGGGCACAGAGCGATGGCAGCAGGGTGCCGTGTAGCACCACGCTGGGCTCGGTCAGAACTTACACGACTTCACGGCTCCCATGTCTTGGACCTGTTCCTCGGTGTTTCCACCCCTTGGTGGGTCCGCTTTCTGATCAGGGAGCCAACAGTCTGCAAGCTTAGCGCTGTGGCTGGGGTCGAGTCTCAGTGGGGACGAATGCAGAGAGGGTGGTCTGTGCGGAGGCTGAGAGGGGCCCTCTCTGAGGCTCAGTGTGACCTCCCTGTCTGCAGAGACAGGAGTGCCAGGGGAGCCCTCCTGCTGGCTCCTTCACAGACACCCCCAGGAAGACAAGTGAGGCAAAGGGTCTGAAAACATATCACCATTTTCTGGAGAAGCACCGTAATGAGGGGCAGATGTGAAAGCCCTGTCTGGACCTAAGTGAGCACCTCTGATTTTGATGTTTTTATTTACAAGGCATCGCCACCTCTCCTACTGTATTTAATCACCACAGCAGGTCTCTGTCCATCCTACTGCCAAGGAATCAGCCAGGAATATTTATCAGGCACATACAATGTGAGCTCATGAATTCTTGTAATAACCTCCTGAGCTTGGCATGGTTTTTACCCCCCTCTCAGGGGCTGGGAATTGATGCCCATGGTTGCCCGATAAGGTGAATGGCAGCACCAGGGCTCTGAGGGCTTCTCAGTGTGCTTGGAGAACTCTAGTGGCCTGGGACACAGGTAAATCTCCTGCCTCAACACCCAGGGCTATGTGGTGGCCCTGGAGAGAGCCCCAGGGGGTCGCAGCCCACAGCCAGGGGACCTCAGGGGCCTGGAGCACTGCGCTTTCTTCCTAGCCTCTCCCCCTGCCCTGGGCTGCCTCCCAACCCTCCCAGGCTGGCCTGCGATGCCAGGAGAAAGAAGCCTCGCAGCCAGTCTTGGGAGTTTCTCGGCTGCAGAGGCATCTGGGCTTCCAAGAGCCTGAAATAGGCTCGTCTGAGTGTGAGGGGGAAGGTGTCAGCGTTACAACCGGGAAGGAGGGTGGGTGTTCCCTCGCATCTCCGTCTCCTTGCGGCAGTGGAAGTGTGGGGTCTGCCTCAGACCCCAAGACAGCTCCCCCGCCCCCACCGCCGTGCTAACTGCTGGAGGTGGGGTGTGGAAGCCCTGCCTCTTCCTTACCCCACAGGCAGACAGGGGCAACTGCGTGTAGGCGTGTGTACATGTGGGGGGGCATGATCAGAGGGCCGGTGTCACAGGCTCTAAATGGGCCCTGGCTGTGAAGGCTGTACGTGGACAAGTCTCAGGGGCACAGGAACTACGCAGGGACACAGGGGCCCTGAGAAGCTGGTGGCTGTCATCCCTGTCCCCTCCTCCCCCACCGGCCAGCCCCTGGGACAGACATCAGAGGGAGGAGGACAAGGACAGGAAGGCCCAGGGGACTGGCAGCTGGCAAAGGGTGGCGAGACGGTGCTGGCCCAGGCTGTCCCGGTAGGCTGCCGGCCTCGCAGGGCTGAGGACGGTGAATTGTGGCTGGGGTATCAGCAGGCCAGCTTGACTGCATCTCAGGCTGTGACATCAACTGAAGGCCTTTGTCTGAAACTGAGCTTACTGGTGTATACCCTCCCTCCCCAGTGTCAGAAATGGGCAAGCAGCCAGAAGGGCAGCGCGTGCAGAGAAGGAAAGAAGGGGCTGGGCTGTAGCTCAGTGGTGAGCGCTTGCTCAGCGTGTGCAAAGCCCTGGGTTCCGTCCTCAGCACCACAAAACAAACACAAGAAAACCATCCCAATTCCTGCGGAGGTTTGAGAGAGAGAGAGAGAGAGAGGGAGAGGGAGACAGGGGGAGAGGGAGAGAAAGGTGGCGGGGGACCTGGAGCTCAACAAGTCTAGAAGAAAATGTCCAAGGTCCTGGGGCCCCACATCATGTGTCTGAGGCTGCTGAGGCAGGGGTGTCGCCTGGCGCATCTGCGAGACTGCTTGACACTGCGAGCCCCAGTGGGTGCCCGCACAAGCTAGTCAGGCTCCAGTGCCTGCGGCTTCAAGGTCCCCACCCCTTTCCTAGGTTCCCAGCGCCCCCTTTGGGTCCCTGTCCTGGAGCTGCAGAAGCTTCCCTTCCTCCCGCTTCTAACTCCTCCAAAGTGCTATTTCCTCTCGTCCTCCACAGTCTCTAAGATGGACTATCAGTATGGAGCTGGGAGGTCCCAGGCTTGGGGAGGCAGAAGGGAGAGAGGGAGCAGGGGAGACGGAGGAGCCAGAGATCCACAGGATTGGGAGACTCTGAAGGGTTTTCTCACAGCGAGGTTCAGCCCCTCTCCATGTGGCAAAGACTGCCCTGCTCCATCCCAGACTGGCAGCCTCCCTCTGCCAGGGCTCATGGGCTCAGGCTGAGTGTGTTTTGGGTTCTGCACCTGCATCCCGGGGCCCAGCATGTGCGGGAAGAGTCTAGATTTGATCTGTAGCTACAGTCAGTTTCTAGTATGTGGGGCTTGGGGACATCAACTTGGAGGTGTGTGTGCATCCGTGGGCAAGCACGGAACACAGGGTCCCTGGGGTGGGGGTGGGGGCTCAGTGGCACTGGAGATGCTGCATACCCTCCCAGGCTGGGGTTTCCAGGGCAGGGCCCCATTTCCCCAGGCTTCTGTCCCCCCTCACCAAACTCTGCAGGGACTGTATCCTAGGGGACTGTTTGCTCTGGCTCACCTGTGCTTCACCTGTGCCTCACCTGCCCCTCCCTGCTGGGGCCCCCTAAGGACAAAGCAGCTGGGAAAGGTGGACCTCGGCTGTCTATTCCTACTGACCTCTCTCTTGGCTCTGCTCTCCCGAGGCGCTGAGATGGACAGAGGGGACTGCCCCTCTCTGAGCCCCTCCTCGGCTGACGAGCCTCAGTTTCCCCGTCTCTAACACAGGGAATCCCTCTGACCTTCAGAGGGGCTGGTAAAATGTAAGAGCACACAGTTTGGTGGGATGGCTGGGGTCCGTGGGGAGGGAGACCTGCGAAGCCAGGAAGGAGTTCGCAGGCCAGCAAGGAGTGGGAGCGACCGAGGTGCCCTCCTGAGTCTGGGTCCCGGTTCTCGGTAAGCCCCACGCCCCGAGCCACCAGGGCTCTGCCTGGGCTTCGACCAGCCCGAGACGCCCCG